GTTTTCCAATACAACTTGGCTTTCATAAACACTGACCTTCTTCCTTTTCTGAAACTGCTGTTTTTACTACCTGTTTCTTTTGCATTTGTTCCCACGATTTTTATGGTCTCGTTTCTTCTCACTCTGGCCACATTTTCTTCTCTTCAAACAACTTTATAAAATTCTGTTGGAGCTGATCTTCGTTAGCAATAGCAAATAATTGGGTTGAAATGTGAATGTTGAGAATCGTTAGTGAAAAGTGTGTTGAAATCGGATTATTGTTTGTGCAAATGGAAAGACTTGTGTATTCCATTCACTTTATTTGAAAGATAGTGGACAACTCTGGTGGCCAATGGAGCTCTCACAAGGCTTACCGATTGAGGATGGATGTTTGTGGCGGTGTAAGGAAGGATGACTGGAATGGAGGTGCAAATGAATGCTCAGGAAGGGTTTGAAGGGAGGAATTGTTTTGTTCATGACACTTTAACTGCAATTTTTATATGATTGTTATCTCTATTAGTCTTGCTTTCATTTAAAACAGCCCAGTCTGAAGGTTCCGTCATTCTTACAATTTATTACTCAATCTATTTCTCCTTCGAAGCTCTCACGATTGAAATATTATCCAGATCAAATAATCAATAATTTTTTGGCAAGTGTCCCCTTCCAACCCAGATTTGCTGTAGAATGCGCTAGTTCAGGGAGTCTGGCCAGATAGAGTAGATAGTGCCTTGGAGATTTCTGAATCGGTCCAGTCTTTACTACTGTAACAATTCGCCATAAAGTGTGTATCATATTGCTTATTGTTCATTGGCCTCAAGAGCCAATATTCCAGTAACAAGTTATGAATCACATCCGAAGTAGCCTGCACGATAACACCATGGGAATAAAGTATTAGCTGTCAATTATTAAGGAAGACTAAGTACAAGTTGAATAGGGAATGATGATGCCAAAACTTCTTAAAACCATTTAAAATACGGCATTGCCTATTATTAATTTTAGGAACTCAAAAATGAACTTAATTATTATTATTTATTTCAAATGGCAGGCTTTATGATAGTTGCAATTAGCCATTTAGCTGACTTCGGGCTTAACAGAGGGGAGGGGGGAATATCAAAGTGAAAAAATTTGAGAGGGGGAACAGAACAGCGTTTCAAGGTTGTAAAAGAGATAGACACAAAGGCAGAGAAAAGGAGTTCAGGGAGTCTGGCCAGATAGAGTAGATAGTGCCATGGAGATTTCTGAGTGGGTCAATTCTTTACAAAAGCATTCAAAAACCACGCTCCGATCAGGCTCATTTAGAATTGGTGATTGACTTCAAATATTTGCTTTCATCCCACTTGATATCGGTCCTCAAATGTACATTGATATTATCACGAATTTGACGATATTTCTGTAGTTAATTTGCAAATGTAGTGGAAAGCAGTTCGGGACTTACTGTAAGTCTGAAAATTTTGTTGAAGAGAGGAAAATAAGTTTTATCGCCGCCATTATTCCATTAATAATGCCTGAAGTTATGAGGCCTATTTTTCGAAAAGTGATAACTCCATTGACCATGGGGACCTTCGTAATTATCGACAATCATTTCCATCTATGATTCGGAGTTTGCCTTCTACATTAGGACGTGCATATCAATGTTTATTTAAATATTGAAAAATTATTTTTGTAGATGGTTAATGTCTGTTCAGTTGGCCCGAATATGAATCTGATTGTGATAATATGCCGCCAAATTTAACTTCCAAATGTTAATAAGTCTTTCCAACCTGATAGGCCAAACGTTATAATTATATATACTTAAAATAATATTGATTTATATTTTGGAAATGCATAAGGAGGCAGATATTTTTAAATCGTTCTAACATCATCTACTGCACTTCCTGCAGAAGCCGTCAGGGATAATTTGAAGCCGTACCTAATAGTCATTAGTGGGATATTAATACTGAGTCTTATGTGCTCTAGGAACCTTCTACGTCTAAAGACACTTCACTCCGATTTGTCTCCTGATCTTCCATGCCCAAGTAAAAAAGGCCCGAAATTCCATCTACCTGAACCATGGATAAATGAACATAAGTGAATTTGTTGCAACTTCGCCTCCCCCTAACTCATACATTATTAACCAGGAAAAAATGCTCGAAATCTACTATTAATTGCTTATAAAATTATGGATTGGCTAAAATGGACCAAATGGAAGGGTGTTCATCTTACATAGTTTGAAGTAAGAACTACCATTTCTGCTACTCAATTTCGGAGACCTGTGGTTAGTTCGGAAGGTTACAAATGTTATAGCAAAAATGATTTTCAAATTCAACTAAACTAAAATCAATTTCTATTTGATTTAACAATAAATCTATCTATTTGAACATCAAATTATTCACTATTTAGGCAAAAAGATAAGTTGCTGAAATATTCAAGTCGAATGAAGAATGCCTTGTAATAACTTTTTAATTCCCATGTTACTTCCAACCTTGGCTTGTAACGCTTAGTTCCGTTCAGTTGGTATTCGAGAAAATATTTCACATTTTCCATTGAACTGTCTGAATTAGTAACAAGTACGCGAAAATGACATTTAGTAAAGCAAACAAATAAGATGAGCGTTTTACAAATCTATTTTCCTCTTTACTATAAATGCCATTTTTCTTAATACTATCCTCTATGGACCTTGTATCAGAATTACACTTTTTAATCTTAGGTGAAAGAATATTGAGCATTTCATCATCATTAACTCTTTAAAGTAAATCAAATTGTTTTTTTATTTTTTATTGGTAACCACTGTTAATAATATAATAAATAAGAATTGATGAAATACACATTTTGCAGACCATTTCAATCAGTGTTATTACAAGGCGCCTTTTCATTTAGTTGAGCTAAATTTTTGTCTTTTTTGTCGATTTCCTGATGATGTATTACAAATAAAGATCGACTAAAGATCTAAAAGCAATGCCACCTAATTTTAAAAAAGTGAACTGTACAGGAGAAATAGCGAATATGTTTCAGCTATAAACAAACAAAAACGAATTATAAGATTTCACAAGATAAAAAAGTCCTTTAGGAAAAGCAGCAACTTTTACTAATAACATTTATTTTAATGTATATTCATTTAGTTAATATACTTAATTACTAAGTTTGATTATTAAACTGATACCTAATTAAAGAAGTAGCCAAAATAGCGTTTTCAAAATTTACGTTATTTACGGTGGATAGATACTATTTGTAAGATTAAATTTATCATGGTATTTTTACATTACTATAATTGGAATAAGAGGAAGGCTATATTTATTCAAATAATTTAGCTAATGATATTTACTTACTTATATAGTAAAATTGGAATATATATTGAATGTTCAGATGTGCAAAATCTGTATCAATTTCATGAAAATACTCATTAACATGTATTTGTTTAATTTGTCTTCATAGGCACAAAGTTGAAAAAACCACAGAATTTGACTTCGACCAATCCTGTTCTAGTATAAGGTCGTTTAGTTTTTTTGCATAAAAAACAATATTTTTGTAAAATTTATGTTCAAAGCATGAAAAATAATTATTGTATGTCGTATTGCTAATGGATGTTTTCTTGATTTATCAGAAAAAATTGATAAGCATCAACTGCAAGCTTGAGATGAATTAATCCCAATCTTTATTCCCTTCATAGTTCTCTAACTGTTGAAATTCAAATCGTTGAGTAACTCTGCCCTCATAGCTATCGTTCTTTGCCGCTTCTAAAATGGTAATTTATTAATTTGCTTTTTGTCCCTGAAGATATCGATTACTATCTTGAGGGTTGAAACGTGATTCATCTCATTTTTGCTTATATTGTTCACGATGTTTAAGCTAATAGGCATGTCCGTATTCGCCTACTTGTTTTTTTGTCTTTCATATGGACAATTCATTGCTTTTAGGATGATACGTCTTTCAATTCTGTAGATGGTAGTAAGGTAAATTATTCATTTTAACTTTCTTTATAATATTGTTAAATTTTCACTTTCTTATTACTTATATTCTGATATGATCGATCTCCATTTTCATGAACGTACTGTTTAAACATTTTTTTAACCTTTCTTAATTATAGGCTGACGAATCATCTACTAAAACGCCACTTCGCTCGGTATTTTTTCTATTTCCTTCTTATACTGCAAATTTTTCATTGGCGGATGCCTTATATGCGCACTTATTCTTTATTACTATGATTAGCCAAGTAGTAATTTATTGTTAAACTTTTTCCATTTTAGTCTACTCGTCAACGAAAGCCGACCAAAGTAAGCTCCCTTTATCATGAATTCATTACCTTGATCATCATGAACAATTTCATTTTGCATGTTTCTTAATTGTTTTAGTCACAAACTGAAGCTGTGGCTTGTGTTGTAATCTTTGTTTCAAAATCTCATTTGATTTTCTTATATTTTGTTCTAATCTGGGGTCTTTTTTTCATTTTAGTCTCAGAATAATTCGCCCTCTGTGAAGGAGTTAAGGGAGCGTGAAAAGGTTCGGATTGGAATACTTGCAATTTACAATTTTATCTTGGTATTATATTGTGACACATTGCAAAGCAGACAACTTTTATTATTTTTTGGCCATGGAAATGCAGGTGGTATCTAGTGAAGGCAAAGCCTACTAAGGGAGAAATGGAAGTGGATTGGGAAGTGTATAGCGCTGATTGACTGGGCTTCAGCATCCTATTGAGTACTCCTTTGATAATCTCTTTAAGGAGCACAATTCAAATGTCTATTTCCTCTTGTTTTATTGATTGCTACTTGAATTCGAAAGGGAAGCTTGTTTAACGCAAACGCATATCTGCACCAGTCGGCTTTATTTTGTTTCCGTTTGTCCTTATGCCCTAGTATTTGCTCTTGTAGGCCGAGCGCGAACGCATCCGACAGGAAAAGCGTGAACAGGTTGAACGAGAGAAGGAAGCCAAACGTCTTCAACGCGAGGCAGAGCGGAAAGCTCGTGAACGTGAAAAGGAGGAGGAAAGAGCTCGTAAAGAGGAAGAGAAACGAGCTAAAGAACGTGAAAAAGAGGAAGAAAGGGCTCGCAAAGAAGAAGAGCGAAAAGCTCGAGAACGCGAAAAGGAAGAAGAAAGAGCGAGGAAGGAAGAGGAGAGGAAAGCCAAAGAGGAAGAACGCAGGAAGCGTGAATTGGAAAAACTCCGTGAGGAGGAGGAGCGTCAGCGCAAACTTGAGAAACAACGCGCTTTTATGAAATCTTTCGTTATCCTCAACAAATCCACCGAAATCTCCAATGAAAATTCGGATAGTTGTGATCCTAACTCGCGTTTCATGAAATTTCAGCTTAGGAAAGATCAGAAATTAGCTCCACTGTGTAGAATTGATTCTGAATCTCTGTTGAAGAAAAAATGGCAGAATATTGAAGATCTGGTGATCTCGTGGAGGGATGAGGAGCAATTGCCTATTGATGGGTCAAAGCTAGGTTTAACCCTCTTTGGGCGGCCAAATTACCTGCTAGAATTAAGGAAAGGGCAAATTGAGCCAATGTCGTATCCTCCTACTTGGCCTTTGTAAGTAGTTCGCATGTGTTAAAATCTTAATCGCTCTTTTAGAGAACCGCCTGAGGGCTTGGGCGTGCTTATACAGGATATGAGTAATCAGCCATTCAATTATGGCGATTCGGGGAATGGAGGTGTTGTCTGGGTGAGGACAAAGTATCTGTACTTTGATTGCAATGTTCGACCACCGTATTTTGGAACCTACAGAAGTAGAAGTGCTGTTGTTGCACCCAGGAGACCTTTCGCCAAGGATGTTCAACGATTGGACTATGATTATGACTCTGAGGAGGAGTGGGAGGAAGTTGAAGGTGAAAGCCTAACTCATTCGGATGTAAGCAATCTGTTCATTTGTTAGTTGTACAATGGTGCATTTTATTTATTTGTTCAATCCTTATTGTTTGTTTAGCTATATAAATATTGTAAGTCCCTCTAGTTTGATCTTTAGGCGTCTACTCATTGAATTTTCCAGTAGTATACTTGATCGACTCGTTGTACTTTCCTCAAATTTACCTATTACCTTGATCAAAAGAGAATTATTGCTTAAAGTGACATTTCTGACACAATACTATTTAAGCCGCGATCTTTCACATAACTTATTAACTTTCTGTAATAGTTTTTTTCATCATTGTATTGATTTGGGCGCCAGCAATAATAGGTGTCTGGTTCTTTATGTTTCAGAGGATTGAACACAACATTTTTCATAACGCTGTTTTTCTACTTGTTGATAATGGTCTTCCTCGGTGCAATCTTTTGGTTGCATTCTTCATAAATTTTATTTCGGATAGTTCTATATTTAACCGATAATGTTCTAGAGAGTTTTTTGTCTTAAATCTTTAATCTATTCCCTCTGTGGCTTTTTTAAAAGAACGTTACGAACGTTTTTGTTCCATATATTAAATTACTTTCCATTGTGTAATGTCGTCATCATAGTCTTCAAAGCGATTATTTCGTAGCCTCTTTCCTCATTTAAATTTTGCATGAAGTGGCAAATCCACTTTAATTCCCAATTGGCGTAACTACTTATACCGGTTTCAGTATGTTGTATTTATTGAATTTTATTTTTCGTCGCCAGCAGGAAGATGATGATGACGTTGATGACTCAGACGAGGATGTCAAGTTTGTCGTGCCCCATGGTTACCTCTCTGACGATGAACGAGAGGGTGCAGACGATGACCCTGAGCCCACAGATGAGCCTTGTCAAATGAAACGCCTGCGCCAACAACTTGCTATGGTCGAGCACGAGGCTCTCTACAATCGGGGCAATCGTAAACTTCGTCCCCTTCTGATTGGCCCCATATGGTCACGAAATCCCCTCTCAGAAATAACTAAAAGAGAGGATGGAACGGCAGTTCAGGCGGATGCTTCAAATCAGAAGGCTTGCTATGACACTGTTGTGGGAGAGGATAAGGAGAATGATAAGGCCGCTGCTACTGTGATCGAGGAAGGTGAGGAGGAGAGGAGGGTGGTCATGACGGAGAAGGAATTGGCTTTTAATCAGGAGGTATTGGGCAACTTTGCGGTTTACTTGTGGCCGGAGGTCAGTGTCCCGGTGTCTATTTCGACTAAGCCTGTTGAAGGTCAACAAGTAGAGAGGGCGAAGAAAAGATTCCCTCCAAGTGGTAAGTTTAAGCATCTATGTTGATCTTGATTATCCTATTAATTAAAATATTTCTATATAGCAAATACTTGTCCTTATAAGAACGCATGATTATCATCATTCTTTTTATCAGTCTGTTAAGGTATGGATTTCTGAATCTGTTATAGAATGATAGAGTTTTAACTACTCCTCATGTTAATGCAGTCTGAGGTATCCAGGAATGTGTCATTTGTAGTTTCATCTGAAAATAAGTCGAATCGTTTGAGTATATTGAGCTGTTTTGAATAGTTAGATGAGTCATTTTTAACGAGTGGCATTATAGGAAGTTATCTGAATGGAGGAAGTGAACAATGAGTCCAGCAAAGTATTAAACAGGGGATGTGTGTATCAAGCTGAAGGAAGTTAAGGTGTCTCAGGAGATCAAGTGTTTTACTTCTGTTTTCTGGGTACTTCATTATTCTTATTGCTCTTCGTGCAATGTTCTGATGCTCATATTTAATTACTCAAGCCCCAGATTCATGGCTAAGTTTGTGCCCCTTGGTAATTAAAACTTGTTGATTTAGTTCCGGTGTTGGCCACATCACCTCAATTCATACATATATCTCTACTTTGTGTGCGAACAATCTATCTCTTTATGTAATTTGCATTGAATGAACCTTTTCTCTATTTACACAGCCAAGAACAAGCTTAAACTGGTTGGCAAATTCTATTATCAAAGAATTTTTTATTCTATTTTTTCGCTTTCCCTCAATGGATACTAACTTAAAATGATTTTTGATTGCCATTATCTCCTTATCAAGCCTTCAAGCATCATTGTGTAGACAGGTAGCGTTGAATCGCCTCCGCGATCAGTACACTGGTGGGACTGTGGTCTGATCATTAGTCAAAGTGAATGCTCATCCAGTGATATGGTTGACTCTAGCCACTAAACGCGGTGGTAGAATACTATTCTCCCAGTAGAATATGTTCATGTTACTTTCTCTTCGCACAAGTTTTGCCAACACTTCCCTTAATTCATTTGAGGGTGTTTGCTAGTATTTCAGAAATTGCTCAATTGACTTCGAATTTCTATGGTTTTAAAACTATGCATGAAAAGTGGATATATTGTGTGTGCGTGTGTGCTCATTACATTTTGATGAATTTTCGCGCAGCCAACTAAGTCAAAAGTTCGTTGTGGGATTTTCAATTCTTGTTTCTGTCCAAGTTGTTCCCACTTCATGACCCATTGAAAGCGTAGTTTTAGGACAGCTTGAATGTCTTAGATGTAACCTCATCCGCCCCCCCCCCCCCCCCCCCCCCCCTCCATTGGACAACTGGTTGATAGACTCCAAAAGTAGCTGAACTAATGTTTATTCTGGCCATTTCAGCTCTTCCTTACTTGATTCGCCTTTTGCACAAAAATCAACTGAGCAAAACGAAGCTCCAGTTCGAATTTCGCGCTTTCTGGTTAAATCATACCTGGAGTGGAGAGGGCAAGCCACCGTTGGAGCATTTCCGGCACTTCCATGATGTGGATGATAGTGCTGATACCGATGACAAACCACAGCCGTCCTCGAAGGTTCTCCCCATTTCAAAAGCCTCTGTATTGCGAAAAATCACTGAAATTGGATCATTTGAAGATGGCGTGTAAGTTCCTGCCATTTTCTGCCTTTTTATTGCCCGCGGCATTCTAAAGCATTTACAATTTTCATCTTTGGAAAGCAATTCAACGTGGGTTTAGAGACGGCGTTCCAGTAAGTTACTTAGATGTGTGTGTCTTCGTCTTATAACGATAGTACCTGCTTGGATATGCTAGCTAGCTCAGTCTCAATTTTTTAGGCGTTTTAGCTCGTTTGAGTTTAAAAGTGTTTTTTAATGCCAAGTCCTCAATATGCAACTTGGATTTTTTGATGGTTACATGTCTATTCGCCTAATGGTTTCTCGTCGCTTGGTTGATCAAAGCACAACCAAGCGTTAAATGTCAATTAAAGCAAGGTATATGTGCTTTCTTTTCTTTTCGTTTGTGTCGCTCACAGTGAAGTTGTTCTCAGAGTTCGAGCCCGTCTTTCATTTGAACATGAGAATTTTCGAAATAACTTTCCTCCTCATTAGCGTTATGAATTGTCATCTGTCCAAATACTTGACGGTTTTCGCAAATACCTCCTTCCAAATATTACCTGAAAAATGATATTTTCATTTGGATCCTCTCATCTTCAACGAATTGAATAAAACAAAAGAACACTCCACGTACGCAGAATAGGTCTTAGAAGTACATGAGTAGGTCTATATGGCAAGTGCGAAATTGGAAATATGTGTATAATGTATCGACCTTCGATGAATAGAAAATTGATGCGGACATCAAGGTCTGCGGGTAAATGGAGAGAATTTGTTAAAATGCAGTACAATCAGATGTTCAAACGTTTGGGAAGATGCCCACCTGCTAACCAACCCGTAACTTTTGTACTTGTGCAGTGGTGGTTGCTCTTCCAAGCAGCTTAGTCTAATGCGAAATCCTCGTTGGGGTTAGAAAAATTATCTGCAATCTGTGCTACTACCTATTCATTTTGGATATTAAATAGATTTTCCGCTACTTGCCGAAAAATCTAGAACTTTCCACACTCACACACACACCTCTTTTCGTGAAGATGTGGCATTTCAAGCTTATTTACGAAAATTGTAAATTTTTACGTCTTTCTCTTTCCTTTTTAGATGGCGTGTGCGACCTGAGGTGTTGGAAGCGAATAGAGACGCGATTCTATCACTCAAAGGTCTCCCTCCAATTGACAATTCCGTCGATCCTACGTGTTCCACCGTTGACTTTCCCCCTTGGCCGTATATCACTGATGTGAATGTCAAAATCAGGAGAAAATCGATGCCATCCTCTCCAGCTGTACCCACTGCACTTGTAGAGTCTGTGAAAGATCAGCCAGAAGAACAGCCAGCGGTTGAAACTCCCTTAGTAACTAAAAAACGTTCCACGCTGACGGATTTCTTTGCCACTCCACCACCTAAACGGCCGAAGAAAGAGCAGGTGGGTAATAAAAATTAATAGAACGATGAATTGTCACTGTTATGAACTCTCTCTCTCTCCCTCTCTTAACGCTCCCCTTCCCCCATTGTCATCTTGTTTCCCTGGCTACCCCCTCTCCCCTCGCCAAACCTCTCCCCTTAGTCTTTTTAATTAACTCTCAAAGAGATGGAAAAATGTTTATCATGTGTTAGACCTATTTTGTATCAAACGAGTGTGTGTCTAGTTGTGATTAAATAAAAAAAGTTTTGTAGGCGCTATATACATATAAATATATATCAATTGCAATCAAGATGGTGCAATTTTGTATGGAATGCGTGGCCTTGATAAATGGTTGGCTAATTAGTCTCCTACAAATGAGGTGTTTTGGTGTGAAAGTTTACAGGGGGTCTTTGGGAGTATGGAAGATGGGCTTCGAGGCGTCGGGGTGTACGAAGGTGAGGTGAGTATGGTAATTCGGTTGGCCACGTTTCTTGTTCTAGTTTCTCCCGGAAATGTGGGCGTTTGTGTTTTTCGATTTACTTGTAAATACTTCCGTATTAGCTGTTGAAGTTACTATCTTCTCCGATTGCTTTTAATTCTTCATTAGCAACGTGCTTGCTGCTTGAGTGCTTGACATTCTTCGCCTTGGGTACTTTCATTAAGTTCGTTTCAGCTCAAAGAGCTCCATCAACTTGGATTTGTCAAATTTCTCATCTCTGATATATTAAAAATGTAAAAATTGCGGAATATTGTGTCAAGCTATTTATCTTCTCAACTGTTAGAGGGGGAATGTAATGATTTAAGGCTCACAAGACCTACTCTTCATGACTAAATAAGGTAATGGTCTATAACTAATAATAATCATCATGGATTGCAGTATTCACTGCAATCCATGGGATGAATCCTCAATTTTGGAAAGGGGGGGGGGGAGTGCGTTCATCTAATAAATATTGTGCAACCCGAATCCAGGAAACGAATGGCGTAGAACTCTCCGGTATCAACTTTGCTCCCTTCTTTACGAGCCCTGCTTCTTCTTTGTCATTTGCTAGACTCCCTGTTATTCGATAATCGTGTGAACGGTGTCCTTCAGATTAGTTATAGTGTAACAGCGTCTTTTGGTGGTGTAGCAAATTGGCAAATTGATCTACCCATGTGCATATCAGTGGCGGGATGCAATTTCGATCTTACCAGAAAATGAATTTTGTATACTCCAATGCAAAAATCATGTAAAAATGCAGTTGGGTAAAGTTCAAACAAAATGCACAAAAGAGATGCGGGAAAACTGGAAGTACTCCATCTTCATATCCACTGGGGGGAGGGGCAACTTTTTCTTCCTCCCTCGTGCGTAACCCTCGAATTAGGTCTTGGAAAACAACCAGTTACGTTTGCAAGATTAGATGTTGTGCCTGCCTCGCTGTGAATGCCTCGAATTTTCTTTGCCAGATATAGGCTAAAGTACCGCTGTCAATGAGACCGATCATTCAACTAAATCAATTGGTTCCCAAGCTCTGAATAATCCTCTAAAACTGCTAGTGATCGGTTAAAGTAATGCGCTGTTTAAATTTGGGATATGGCAAAATTGAAGGTGAATCCCATGAGAAAGTTGATGACCCAATGTATCTGAAATTCAATATTACCTAGAACCCCTTGGGGTGTGCGATAGACTTACCTCCACGTGGTGCACCCTGGGCAACGTATACTCATACGGCCAAAAAGTCTATCAACTGGCAGTTGACCTCTGACTTCAAACTACCATCACCCCACTGTATGTCATATTCGACCCCTTCCACAGTACTCATCTAGCCTTTTCTCTGCCTTTGTGTCCGTCTGTCTCTTTTACATCTGCGAAACGCTCTTCTTTTCCCATGTCGAATTTTTCTCACTTTCATGTTCCTCCCTTCTGTGAAGCCCGAAGTCAACTAAAGGGCTAATGATAACTATCAAAATGCTTGCCGTTTGAAATAAATAA